CAAGGGCAGGGGAAGGGGCAGAGAGGACGAAGAGCAGTAAGGAGCCCGACTCCCTCATGCTATAGAAGGAGCACCTGCCCTGCCCAGGGCTCCTCCTTGTTGGCCCCACGGAGCTCACAGTTAAGGTGCCCAGGCTCCCTGCCCGCCCCCCCACGCCTCCCCCCACGCCCCCTACGCCCCCCCACACCCCACCACGCCTCCCCCCCCACCACGCCAGCTCTGGGCTCTGTTCTCCACCTCTGACTTACTGCACCCAAATCTTAGCTGCACTGTTGAATCACACTTTTTTAAGCAACAGTAGTCTCTCCCTTTCCATTTGAGGAGTATTTAGAGCTAAATATGGGAAACATGAGGTTTCCATATCTCCCAGGAGACTCTGATTAAATTTACTGAGTTGCTTGTAGGATGGTTATCTACCCCATGTGGTGTGCGGGATGTGAAGTCGTTTATTTTACTGGCCTGATTTTCCATTTGCATCATTTTTTCTGGTTTATTTTCTGTTTCTTTTTCTTTTTCTTTTTTTTTTTATCTTGTTATATTGAATGAGTCTTTCTTAAAGAACTTTTTTTCAAGTTGGGGAATACAATTCGGAAAATCATAGGGAATTATATAATGAATACCCTTGTACTCATGAACAAGCTTTATCAGTTCTTAACATGTTACCACATTTGCTTCAATTTCTTATTCTCTTTTTCTTTTTCTTTCTTTCTTTTTTTAAGTAAAATAAACTATCATGAAATTTACTGTTTGATCTGTTTCAATTTCTTTTTGAAACAACATATATATCGTTGAAGCGCCTATGACCTCTCACTCCTTCCCTAAAGGGAACCAGCATTCTGAATGAATTCTCAGGTAGAAGTGATCAAAAGTGCATCATAAAACACCTCTAGGGTAGAGAAGGGTGTAAAACAAAAAGCAAAAATCCTCCTGCTGCTCTCAGTTTACATTCACTCTCCCTGRGCTAATCACTCTTAAAACTTTTTAGACATTATTCATGTTTGCCCAGCATGGTTGTGTGCACCTGTAATCCCAGCAGCTTGGGAGGCTGAGGCAGGAGGATCATCGTGAGTTCAAAGCCAGCCTCAGCAAAAGTGAGGTGCTAAGCAACTCAGTGAGACCTTGTCTCAAATAAAATACAAAATAGGGCTGGGGATGTGGCTCAGTGGTTGAGTGCCCCTAAATTCAATTCCAGGTACAAAAGAAAGAAAGGAAGAAATTGTTCATATTTTTCTCCACCCAGGGTTCTACAATGGATCACAGCCCCAGTCCTTCAGATATATGTATGGAGTATATCAGCTTGTTTTCTTTTTTTTTTTTTCAGTAATGGGGATTGAACCAGGGAGGTTCCATCACTGAGCCACATCCCCAGCCCTTTTTATTTTTTACTTTGAGGCAGGGTCTCACTAAGTTGCTGAGGCTGGACTCAAATTTGGGATCCTCCTCTCTCAGCCTCTAGAGTCACTGGGGTTATAGGGGCTCATCATGCCTGGCTCGGCTTGTTTTGTTTCTTAACACAAATGGAATCACACTATACTATATACTATAGTGTCGTTCTCCGCTTTGCCTTTTGGGTCCAGTTCCGTGGACATTTCTCCATGTGAATACTAACAAATCCACCGTATTCCTTTTATCAGTTGCCTGGGATTCGACTTTATTTAATGACTTTATTTAATGTTTCCCATGGATGGACATTTAGGTGGTTTCCAGTTACAGTGCTATTCTAAACAAGCCTGCATCGAACACTCTTGCCATGAAGTTTTATTCACTTATTAGAATACTGTAAATCTGCAAAATAAATATGTAGAAGTGGAATTTCTGAATGAAAGGGTATAGATATTGGATATCTTGAAAGACTTGCCAACCCTCCCTCTAAAAGTGATCAACTTAAACATCTACCAAGAATGTAAGAGTGTTCCCRTCTCCCCATAGCCTCAAGAACACCTCTTCTTATATCCCTGTTGGCCTTTTGTTTATGTTCTTCTGTGAACCGTCTCTATTTTTCTCCCCTTGCATTTTGTGGGTTTGTTCTTACATTTCAATCKCCATCTACCTAGAATCAATTTTGGATGCAGAGTGAATGTCCAAAGTGAGATATTATCTTCGATTAACATTTATTGATATTTCCTACTCTGTAAATAGATGGAATTAATTACCAAGACAAAGGGAAAAATGGGTTTCTTTCAACTCCTAAGAGGCCATAATTACTGAGTTTGCCACCGGATCTGATGCAAACTGGGTGGACATGGAAGTGTCAACCCAAGGGAGTCATGATTGCTTTGAGACCAGAGGGGTGAGTAAAAYTTAAGTAGAATAGGAGGGAGGGAAGAGAGGAAGGATGTTCTGCACCAGAGGGGAAGAGAGCATGTGCAAAGGCTCTGAGGTTAACAATAGAACATTGCCTCTGCACACCCTATCTTCATGATGGACAGGCTGGACACAGACACTCTGCAAATATTCAGTTAGTTGTTCAACAAATATGTAGCTGTGGACGCCTTCACTGAGACTTTGGGTTTTTCCCTGGATGAAGTGTATCGAATGTCTGGGAAGAGAGAGAAACGAAGATATTGGACGGCCAGAGAAGTGACTGGGGCAGACTGCTAAGACTCCACCAAAAATCCATCCTCCCTTCTGTTGTAATGGAACCCAAGCTGGGTATATGGCTGCCAACCAGGGACAGCAATGCGCAGCTCTGTCATGTAGCGGAGGCTGTAAGGACTCCATTCTCGCTAGCAGAATGTGATTGAAGCTGGCATGTGAACTTTCAGCCTGTAACCGTTTGAAAACGGGATCACAGATTCTTCAACTCTTTTCTTGTCAAGGGACGGTGGTCTAGGACCCTTCCACTTGAACCGGGGCCGTCTTCAATCAAGAGTACTGTGAGAATACCGTGACTTTGGCGAGGCTAGGCCACAGAAGGCTATGCATGTCCCACCTTGTTCTCTGGGAAGACACACTCTTGGATCACTGGACCACCATCAAAGCCCAGTTCCACTGAGGCCACCATGTTGGAGAAGCTGGATACCGGGGCTCTGTGCCGGCCCAGTGGAGCCCYGTCTCCCAGCCAAGTGCCGATGAATGACTCCGCTGCAACCACTCTGGGTCTTTGTATCTGAGGTCCGAGCATCATAAAGCAGAAAGACAAGCAGTCCTCTCTGTTTTGTTCAAATTCCCCAGAATTTCACACAGACCCATAGAATCTGTGAGGATGATCACATAAAATGGTTGATATTTTATGGCACTAAAGTTTGGCTGGTCTGGTATTCAATAATAGGTAATTAGAACTAAACCAAGACCCAGAAAACCTGTCCCCCTTCCTGCTGGCTCCAACCTGAGGTGGCAATGACTACCAGTCTCATCTGTGTAGATGACAGCTCCTCGGGGACACAGCATGGAAAGGACCTGGGTCCCTAGCTAATCAAATGGAGCCAATGTGAAACACTCCCTCGGGAGGAATACATGTAAACATCTTTTTTCCAGCAAGATGAATGGGATCCTGCCAGCTGAGCCTGTCTTTGGTTGGAAGGAAGGGGGAGGGGTAGCAACAGCAGATCAACAAACAAACAATGCCCAATGGGTTGTTTAATTTCGGTGTGATCAGTTCTAAGCAGAGACACAAGGGGAGCTGTAAAAACAATCCACAGACGTTCTGACCCACTGAGGGAGCAGTGTTTGCTTTGAGGCCAGAAGGGTGAGTAAAAGTCAAATAGGATGGGCGGGAGGGAGGAGGGGAAGAATGTTCTGGCACCAGGGGGGTGGAGCATGTACAAAGACTCTGAGTCCGGAGGAGGTGGTGAGTTTTAGAAACTGGAGGGAAAAAAGAAGGAAAAGAGAAGAAGTCGGTGTAGGCTGTCCTGAGGATTTCAGTATAATCTCTATGAAATAAGGACCCATGGGCCAATTCCAGCAGGAGTTGATAATGTCAGAATAGGGCAGGGAGCCATTAGGAGGCGGATGGAGACTCTCTCTGGGGTAGGGCTGTTTGGAGATAGAAATGATTAAGTTTGGAAGATATTTTTGGAGGTGATTGGCAAGATTTTGGGGGCCAGGAGAACTTGGTGAGGGAGGGAATAGCCAAGGATGAAGCATCCGTGAGATGATGTCTAGTCTGGGAGAATATTCCAATGTCATGGCCAGAGGAAATCTGGACGTGGCCAAGTTCAAAGACAGCTCAGAGCATAGAGAGGAGATTGGATTTGTTAGTGGGAGCCTTTGAGGATGTCACCATTCCCATTTTAATGTCTGTAATATGGAGGTAATCACAGCTCCATTTGCTACACCCGACTGTTTTAAGTCTATGGATGAAGGCTGCATTCATTTACTCAAACATGTTTGTTGAGTGGTTCCTTTGAAGTTTCATAAACAAGGTCAACACATAAAATATGCTGTGTGTTAGTGGAAGGTGTTGAGGAGAAAAAAGAAATAAGTTAGGAAAAGGGGATAGAAGAGAGTATAAATTTTCTAAATAAAGCTGGTAGGCTAGAAAGAGCAAGCATGGATTGACCTTGCGTCATCCATCTCACGTCCTTACACATTGTTTATAAGGACAGGATGCTCACGCTCACAAGCTGGGTAGGTCCAGGTTCTCCAAGGAGCCTGGGGTTTATACAATTGGGGAGAGTTCTTTGCAAACAGAATATTTTTAAAAATCTTACTTTTTGCAAATTTTACAGAGCTGTGACCATCTGAATAGATTTTCAGGACCTTGGAAGGGGCTGGCTTGAGTATGGGACCCTACAACACAGGCTTCCAGAGGTTCTCAGTACACCCACCTCTGCTCATGAGCCACAGAGCTGTGGGAAGGGGAGGGAGGCCTGTGGGGCCTTCGTAACTTGAAGCAAGACAGCCAATCACGCCGACCCTCAACTTCCTGATCTGTAAACAGGGACCACATCACATCCTTATAAGGTTTTAAGAAGTTAATAAGGGCATATAAGTAAAGTGCCTGGCTCTTCAATAAATAGTAACCATTTGTAAACATTTTTATTTCTACCCCTACACAGTTGGAGAACCACATTTTCAAACTCTGGATGGGACCAGAAAGAACAGGGATAAAAAAGGAATTGAAAGCCACCGTCACAGGCAGGCCCCACACTGCCTGCAAGCGCTGACCTCAGTGGCGCCAGATGCATACACTGTTTGTATGACCTTTGACCTGTGGAATCAGTCTGTGGCAATGACCCTTATGTGCTCCACCCTAGAGCAGAACCTTATGGAAATCAAACATCCCATGAACACCCAGCTGCCCCATAGGCGTGGATGTTTAAATGGACGGAGTAGAAAGAGGCTTCAAGTCCTGCTCAGCCCCTAATGGCCCACGAGAACAGCCAGCGATTCCACCTGCCGGAGCTGGAGCCACCACTCACTGCCTCTCCTGCAGCCTGCAGAGGAATGTTCTGTGTGGCACGGAGGATCGTGAGGATGCAGCAAGGTAACCAGAGCGCCAGGTGCACACAGAGAAGGAAGTCAAAGCTCCTCCCAGTCGGACACAAATTCTAGGATCCACACCCAGGAAAAAAACAGGGCTGTGGCAGCCTGGGGCATTGGTAACTCTAAAAGTCCTGCAACTCCTGGGGATGTGGCTGCCACAGCAAATGCTCTCAGGCATCTAACAAAGCAAGTTTGACCCATGGCAGATGCTGGTGACGTTCAATGGCCTACGACAATGAAAGCCATAATCAGAGGGTGCTCTGACTTGGCTGCTGTGGCCTCCTTCGCCCACGGAGTCACAATCATTTGCTAGGATAATACACCGGCCGTTAGACCTCAAAGTCCTGTTGCTAAGAGATTACCAGCCAAATGATGTTTCCAAAAAGAAACCGCTACAGCATGTTCCAAAATAGAGCCATAATAATAGCCCAAACAGAAAGGACATACTATTATTGATAAATCCTTGTGAAATGTTGAGGAAGGGAAGTAGCCTACACATTACTGATTTGCCAAAGTTTTGAATCYAATAAAATGGACTCAGTGGTAAAATGGTAATAGATATAATAATGTCTTCATAATTCAGAGGTTCTTCAACCAACCAAAATGTATTCATTGGCGGGCGGGGGCTGGGGGTGTCTGCTTTTTCGTGCGTGTTTACAACCATCCCAGCCACATTTAGTTGCAGGAATGACTAAGTCTAAAGTGGCTGTAACCACCCCTGTTTGGCACTGTGCCCGTTTTCTGCAATAATTAAGTGATTTAACAGTCATTCGCAGCCACCTCCGTTATTGCTCTGTTGCTAGGGCAACAGCAACCAGTCAACCAACAGAAGCCAGGTTAGTGCAGGACAGAAGGTGACAAACAGGGCACTTTCAGGGAACTGGCTGTCACCAGGCACCTGCCTAAAGCAGTTTGAGTGTGCAGTTTTCCTGGGAAGATACTCCATTCTGTTGTTCTGTGTCCTCACTGAAGACTCCTGGCATAATCCCAGGTGCTTCCACCAGGCAGGTAGTTAGTGCAAAAGAGTTGTCCCTTAATCTATTAAATTAAAGGAAGTTCTGATCTTTGCTGGCCTCTGTGCCGACCTCTGATGCTAGCAGCATGATGCAGCCACAGAGCCTCCCTTCCTGCCCACCTCCCGTCTCCCTTTTCTCCTCTCCATCTCTCCATCCTCTCATCCTACTCCTACTGCTACCTTCTGCTTTCTCTCTGGCCGGGCCCCGTGCTGCAGTGTTTGTGTGTCATTGCTGGAGCAGGTAATGGAGAGCCATCAGGTTCTTTTTTTCCCATTTTACAGGTGTGAAAACCAAGGTCCAGGGAGACAGAGTGGGCTGTCAAAGTCATGCAGTTATGAAGTCAAGAGATAAGCTCATCCTGTCTTTTAGCCGCAGGTCCAAGAATGTTCACTGCTCACCAGCCCCAAGCACCCCGTGATGCGTTACACAGGAAATCGCTGCATGTTGCAATGCTTCCTAGAAAGGGGTCAGTGTTTCCATGGGCCAACCCTAGTGGCCTTTGATCACTGTGTGGCACCCAGGGGAGGTAGAACCTTAGGGACTCTACCCTTTTTTCCTCCTTCATTGGGTAGGGGTAAGGGGCATGTATCAAGCAGAGCATTTATGGCTGTAGATTTGGATTATTCTGCCACTGGGTAACCTTGGGCCAGCTACTTAACCTTCCGCAGTGCAGTTTCTTCTCTGTAAATTGAGGGCAAGACGAGTACCTGCCTATTTTGTAAGGTTGTTACAAGGAATGCTTAAGATCAAACAGGTAATGGTCATCAAGAGGGTATGGGGGGCCCCAGCCATAAAAAGATAGTCATTTTCACACGGTCATCACCATCTGATTCTGCAATTGGGCAGAAGGCTGGTATCAATTACAGGACAACCGTAGTCCCCAGTGGCCACTGGCCTGTGTYGTGAGGTTCCTCTTATGACAGATAGATCCCAGGATCCTGAATTTTTCAGAAGCTGCCCTGGAAGAACGGAGAAGCGGCTTTGTGGGTCTCCGCGCCTGTCTAAACACATGTGCTTCCAACTGGCTCGCCTGGCTGGAATTCCCCCTGTCCAGCCCAGGCCAGCTCCCCAGGGCCCCATCCATCCTCTCTAATCATACCAGCTCCCACCCTGGGCCAGGCCTGAGGGGTCTCCAGGGCTGCCTGCTTCTCCCTATTTACCAATTCCACTCCTGGGAGTAGGAAAGAGCTGGCCAACGCCAGGCCCTCTCTTGCCTATGTTTGAAAGTTGGCGGATCAGACCCAAGGGTCTCAAAACCCCAGCCTGGAGGACAGCTTCTCCAGGAGGCCGAGGGTGGAGCTGAAGGCTGAGTTGGAGGGTCATCAATTCGCAGCCCTGCCATTTGGCACCAGCCCCAGTGTGGCGGCTCCAGTTATCCCGGGGCCAGGATGCTTTTTCTGTCGAGTCATCCTTTCTTACCCAGAGGGATCCTGGCCCAAAGCCACATTCTGGTGGGGTCTGAATGCCACAGAGAACGGAAGCTTCCTTTCTCACCAACCCCAGCTCGGGGCCCTGCAGACTGGCTGGTCTCTCAGCAGCCTCTGCCGGCAGCAAGGTCGGCCTCCAGCTCTGTGTCCCGCAGACCTGGCTCTCTGTGGACCCTGAGCCCCGGGGAGCTCCTGGAAGGAAGTTTGAGATGCCAGTGTTCCTAGAGGAGAGAATGGCCTAAGGGGAGGGGGCCAGAGGAAATGGAGGAACTGCTTAAAATTCCTGCCTGCCCACAGTCAGTGGGGGCCAGCAGCCCCATTGGGAAGAAGTCTACTGCTGGAGAGGCCTGGGGCAGGGGCCAGATCTGAGCCTTGGAGGCCTCAGTGCTTCCCCCCACTCATCAACTCTCTCATTCCCTTACTATGTGAACTGCCGGTGTCCCCACATCAGCAAGCCAGCMGTACCTTCTGCACGTCACACGTTTCAGGAATATGTCTGTACATCAGCACTGCCCTGCAGCGGGGGATGAGGCCGATGGGGCCAGTCCCGGATCCCCGCCTCCACTCCTGCTTGCATCCCAGACCACCTACGTTCGGGTCTTGGCTCCCCACTTCCAGCTATGTGACCTTGAGCAAGTTACTTTACCTCTCTCAGTCTCCATCGCTTCATCTATAAAATAGAGCAAGCTAATACCTACCTCGTAGGGATGACAGAGAGGCAAGTGAGTTAATATATGTAAACATTAAGGACAACTCCCAGGCACAGAAAGCTGGCGGTAGGGTGCAGGGAGGACTAATTCTGTGCCTTAGTTTTGGCTATTTTCCRGTGGGAATGCTTTTCTCTTCCTTTTCCAGGAACCTGTTACGCCCAAACTCTCAGCAGTTTCCAGAAGGTAGGACTACCAGGAGTAGGCCCAAGGTCAGATCACTGCCCTGTTAGGGGCTAGGGTGGCCAACACTAGCAGAGTGTTTTCCTGTTTGCAGAGGGTCTCAYAACAGCCCTGTGAAGTGGGTGAGGGAATGGGGCTCAGGGAGGACCTCGGGGTTGAGAGTGAAACTCRGGTCTCCTGACTGGAAGTAGCACAGTCCCTGCCCCACCCTGTGGTGCTGGTCCCCAGAGACAATCAGACATGCCGAGGCCATTAGCGGGGCCTCAAGAGCTTCCCAGGCTAGCACTCAGAGCACGGGCTTTCCAGGCCCTCAGCCACCTCTCAGAGCCAGATGGGACCCCCACAGCCTYGGGACAGGGGGCGCTGGCAAAGTCCCGAGGAAGCCCAGCAGGAAGACTCAGCCCAGGAAACTCTGAGCAACGCTGGCAGACCACAGGCCCCTGGGCTTCCTGCATGCTCCACACAGGCTGCCCATCAACGTCAACGGGCTTGTGAAACCCGGCCGGGTGGGCAGTGGGAACCCAAAGGCCTCCAGGGGTCACTGGCTGTGGTTGTCCTGTTCCCCTGCAGCCCTGGAGAAGGTGGCTCTCTAGACTGCTGTCTGCACTGTAATGAGATCCAGCTGCTGCAGGGGACRGGCACCTGATGGAGGCCCGGCCATCCCCTGGCCTCAGGCTCCTCCGGCAGGCATGTATCTCCTAGGTTCCCCACAGACCCAGCAGTGGGATCTCTGGTTGAAGGACTTTGGAGGGTAAGACATGAGGGTTATTATCAGCCTGGTTCTTAGCTTAGCTGTGGGACTTTGGAAAAGGCAGTSAGCCTCTGTATGCCTCAGTTTTCTCATCTTTAAAATGGTGACAAAAGGCACCTACTTTGTTGTGAAGATTAAATACGATAATGTATATGGGAGGTTTGGTAAGGACCTGGCACCTMGTAAGCTCTGAGCAGTTGTCTTAGCAACCATGACGACAGCCAACAGAAATTTGAGGTGTAAATACCATTGCATTTCTTGATTTTTGTAATTTTAATTAAAACTCTCCAGATTCAACCTATTACAGATGATCCTTAATTTACGATGGYTCAACTTATGATTTTTAGACTTTTCAATGTGCAAAAGCAATASATATTCAGTAGAAACGACATCTKGAATTTTGAATTTGGATCTTTTCCCATGSTAGGGATATCTGGTATAATGATCTCCCGTGATCCTGGGCAGCAGCAGCTCCCAGCCATCCGCTGGATCAGGAGGGAAACAATGGATTCTCCACAGTGTGCTCTGTTGCTAAGCCATGATGCTCAGGAGGCCTGATGTACTAAATGCATTTTCGACTTCCGATGGTTTTAATTTATGATGGGTTTATTAGAATATAAYCCCACAGAAAGTCAAAGAACATCTGTATAATTAAAAGAATAAACCTTCTTCTTGAAGATTCCTCTCCCTTTGATTGCCCCAGAAACCCAACGTCTGTGACTCAAAAAGAGGGGRTCAGAGGGTTCACTTTTCACACATCGGCCAGGAGAACTGGAACACGATCAGTTCCCACTGAGGAGTGCCATGTGTCAGAGGAGGCAGCTGTTCCTGCACCAACTTGCACACAACGCAGGCCACAGGGACCTTCCAGAGGGAGGACTCCAAGGATGGCCAAGGATGACTGAGGGTTGCCATCTGCTCAGTGCACKGCAGGGCCATGGCCCACACTCACAGCTTGTTCACGCACATCTGTGGCCATCTCTCCAGCACT